CACCGTCGAAAATATCCATGGAAGGTACTATTACTTTATTGCATGTTCCATAGTACATAAAGTGTTCACAAGCTTATTGCAACTGTATAATTTACGTTTCTCCTCCATAACTCAAACAAATTTCTGGAACAATGTTTTCCTCACTAGACGTGGCACCTGCTCATTTGTTATTCATATGCGCAGTCGAATAATCTCGAATTGATCTTTATCTGTTCGTGCGCATACTATTATTGCAAATTCACTGAACCGACCTGTTCGCTTTCGCTATACTCTGTAGCTGTTCCTCTCCTTTAGACTGAACGTCCTGGCAAGCCTTCTCATTGAATTTTCATCTAAAACGTCTTCTCTACAATCGTGGATGACTCATCAAACGCGAGTAGCTGGCTCTATTCGCGAACGCTCTGCTGATCCCCAGTATCTATCTGAGGTTTCTACCTTTACTGCTCACAATTCTCCGCTTCAAAGTTTAGGCTATATAACTTATACTATTTAAGGCACGTCGTGAGGCTAAGCGTCTATTAGAAGAAGTCGCCCGAGAAGAAAGCAGCCTGAAGGCTATCGGTGCTTTACTTTCTAAAATTGAACAAGAAGTTGATTCTCTTTACGACTCTGTTCCTGATGCGGATACACGTGGAATCCACTCAACAGAAATTAGGAACACATTTTACCGGGTTGAAGTATGCTTTTCGATAGAAAAAGTTGCAAACTTCACATCGCTGTATTTCTACAAATTTTAAGGATGACTTCTCAGCTCTCCAAAAGCAATGCGCCGATCTAATACAGTTCCAGAACCGCATAGGGTCCCTTGGAACCGAACTAAGTGAACACTTGCGGTTAGCAATGTTCTTAATTTTCTTAAAATTGTTCTATAGATTTTTATATCAATGTACTTTAACAGCATACTTATTATTTTGTTTATAGAAAGGTGGATGATTGGTTTGCGAGTATAGAAGGAGAACTTACGGAAGTTGACCGAGCTCCGGACATGGCTGTAGAGCAGAAGCTTGCCGCTTTGGAAGATTTGAATCAACAGGTCGTGCTCACGTGTTCCGTGTTTGAGTCCTTGCTAAGAAAT